AGTGAAAGGAAATTGGAACAAGATGCGACTGTGAAACATAAGCCCCCAGGTTGGTAAATGGGGCTCATCACTAAGTATGGGATGAGAGATCTGAGCCCATTTTATGTGAGTGTAACTGATAGTATTTGAGTAAAAATGCCACGAAAGTTTGGAAAAGGGAGAGATCAAAGTGGAAAGAGTTGACCTTGGGGGTGTCCTGAGGACTCTGGGACTTGAATTGAATTTTGAAAGATGCAAGAGTAGAGACAGGTAGAGAGAAAAAGCTTACAGAAATCAGCTTGTCCCCTTGCTTTTCAGGTGACAAAGATCCTATTATGATACTGGACTCCTCAATGTTATAATTATTTTATAATTATAATTATAGGTATAATTATGTAATACATATAATTAATTTATGTTGACTCTCTTAATGTGCCTATAATTATCTCTGTATTTGACCTTTTTTAAAATTCCTCTGGTGCCTGAGAACCAGTTTTAAATATCTGCAATTGTGTAGCGAGGCAGGTCACCATCTGCTGCTTTCCCGCCGTGCTCCGAGATGAGTCACCCCAGCAATGCCTGGCCTGGCTTCCGAGCGTCTCCTCTCTGATCCACGTGCATAGGCAGGCATGAGGCTCCCAACTTCTGTGGTGTGTCTTGTGCCAATTCAGGGCATCCCCTAGGGCAAGCTCCCAGGTGACAAGGACAAAATCATGTATACTCACCTTACATGCCTTCAAGTGGGCTCAGAATCAGCCCTGCCTTTCAACCAAGAAGGATGAGGAACCTTCCCAACGGGAAGGGTGAGAATCTGTCAGCTTTCCAATGGGAATGTCCCAGGAGAGGCAAAGCTAAAATGGGAGCAGGCTCCTTGGAGAACTGAGAAAAGTGTGCTGTCGTTTTTCAGGGCTGGTAATTGGAACTCCATTAGGACAAACATTCTTCCACCTCACTAAACCTGTGCATGCTTGTGTGTGTGCGTGTGTGTGTATGTATGTGGTTGGGGGTAGAAAAAGCGAAGGTAGTGAGAGGGAGAAAAACAAGATAAGTGAGACTAGGTGAGTGAGGGAGAAAAGAGAGAAGTAATGAAGAGGTGACTGGAGAAGAGGAGCCAAGAAAATGGAAGTGAAATAATCCCAATACCCACTTCTGTCCCTTGCGTATGCTTTGGCATGGCCTGTGCACATAAAATGGAAAATTCATCTTGGTCTTAGCGTGTTGAGCCAAACAAGATACACTTACAATGTATCAGATGGTCACGAAAAGCAGTTTTGTCTTTATTCTTAAGTTGGTTTGTGCCCCATTTTTAGGCAGCTCTCCCCAGGCCCCTCTTTGCCTGAGTGTGAAATGTGAATACTGATGGTGTTCATGATGTTGCTTCCTAGGAATCTTTCAAACTTTAAGAGTCAGCACCACACTCTCTGCCAAAATTTGCCATCCTGGTAAGGCTAGGAAAGTATGACTTTCAGATTTTAGCATTAGCCTATCAGATCATAGGAAGCATAAAATGTATCTAGTTGATGTTGAGTCCATTCTTGTAGTGACTGATACTGAGCACCAGGGCTACCAAGGTGGGGCCCACGTTGCTTGTAACAGGGTCAGGAATGCCCACCGCAGCACAGAGGGAGCACAACCAGACAAAGCCAGGTGATGCCCTCTGTCACTGCCAGGGACAGCCGTGACGCATCACCCATTGCTGTGTTCCAGATCTCTCCACGCCTCAGGGGCTGCGATTCAAGACGATCACAGAGACCACCGTGGAGGTGCAGTGGGAGCCCTTCTCCTTCTCCTTCGATGGCTGGGAGATCAGCTTCATCCCCAAGGTAACAGCCCGCTGGGCTGTTAAACAGCCTGACCTGGATATCCTACCCTCAACTTGGAATCAGAAACAGCGAAGGTCTGACCTAATCTCTCTCTCCACACCATCAAGGACACAGAGGGGTCTTATGTGACTGTGTGAGCTGTGAGGCATTTTCTTTACAAAAGTGAAGTGAGGACTGCCGAACAAGAGAGATCCGAGGCCAGTCTTTAGGTGACGAGAGGATGCAGGAAGCAGCTACCAGACCCAGCTATCTGCTCAAAAAGCTCTAGGGCTTAGCAAGCTGTGGCTTTAGTGAGTCTGAAACCAGATTTTCCAAAAGTTGGTGTTTCTTTTCAGAAAAAAAAAGCAAGCTGAAACCATCACAATCCGCAGACAGATGTTCTAAAGTTGACTTGCATGTCTTCCATTTCTGAAGGTTAGAATGTAACCCAAGGAAACCCTTTAATAGCCTGTAAATTGAGAAGTTTCTTTAAACAATTATGTTATTAGTCATTGAATTTAAAAGTATTGTAAAATTCACATATTTTTCTTCTACTTATCCTAAAACTACCTTTCCATGTTGCCAGAGGTGCCTACCTCGTTCTGATTTTCCAGGATTTGTTCACCCTAAGATACTGTCCCAATTATAACACTCACTGGGGGTGTAATGTTCATCATACCCCTTACCTCTGTCTTCATCTTTTAACATCAAATCACTTTTTCTATCATTCAGTCATTTATCAGGCTTAATGACAGATGACACATTTTTGATAGTAAGACTTATTTCCCCATTCTGCAACTTCAGAATGCTTAGAGCCAAAGACCTTCCGGTACACCTTTATTTTATAGTTGCCTAGATTGTTTAGATTACAGAAACCAAGGCTCAGGAAACTAAAGTGACAGCAGACAAGGAGTTAGTGGCAGGTTTAAAGCAAGATGCCCAATGTCAACTTCCGACTCCATGGTTCTGTCTACTTACCCATGACACCTCATTCTTATGGGAATATAGTCATACCATGGCAAGCTAAACAAATCTGAAGCTATTTTATACAAAAATTTTATTATATGTCTTCTCTACATTAATATGGCCAGTAAGTATGGCAAGCAACTGAGTTTACAACAGGACGGAGCAAATAAAATCACCAGGAGCTTGAGCTGGAAAAAAATCACACCTGCTTTGCTTGAAGTACAATGTACAACTCTAAAAAGGAGAATGCTAGCCAGAGTAGACAGATCAAGCATAGACCACACAGAAGAACTGTGATCTGCAGGTTGAGTTCACAATGAATTATAAGAGCAAGACCATAAATTATAAGAGCAGGTGCTCTGGGTGATACAAACAAAGATCAGAGAACAGAAAAGAAAGGCAGCTCCACTGAAGAGCCCCCTGCCTCCTCCACTCACAGGAGATAGCACAGTGGACAGACAGACAGATAACATATTCTGGAACATCATCAGGCTGGTCTTTCTTGGTTCCTCTTCCACTGATTGGTCTCTTTTCTCTCTCTTTTACATAATTCTTTGTTTCATGTTTCTTTTTTCTTATCTTTGTATATCATAGCTGGCTGTTTGTAGACAGACTCCTTTCTCCTCTGGGTGAAGGGGAAACAAGACATTGACAATTTCGTTCCCATTGTCATACCACGAGAAACTCCACAGCAAAATAATAGTGTGGACCATTACAAACCCAGAATGTCTTAGATTGAAATATGTTGTGTGTACATAAAGATGTTCACACACATACACATACACACACAACTACATTTGCTTGAAGAAGCCAGAGCATGCTTATGATGATGAATGTCCAGAAATGCTGATAGATGTTACTCATAAACCATCAAACACTTAATCTGACAAGAGCCAATCTGCATCACCTCATGATTAATTGCTATTGGAAAACTCAATAAACACAGGAGAGGCCAAGGAAATGTCCCTGAAAATTGGTTCTCCATTTGCCAAATCTCCAGAGAGTGGCAGGTTCTCACTGTGCTTGCTGGGAGTCACTCCTGGACCAACACTCAGCTGTCAGTGCAGAGGGAGGAGATGCTGCCCCAGTGCTAGTTCACATTGTTCCAGAGTTTCATCTTCACTCCACCAGACTTCTCCCCCAGTGATTTCTCTTTTGCTGTTTCTGCTTCTCCCACCATCCAGAACAATGAAGGAGGAGTAATCGCTCAGCTCCCCAGTGATGTTACATCCTTCAACCAGACAGGACTGAAGCCTGGGGAGGAATACATTGTCAATGTGGTGGCTCTGAAAGAACAAGCCCGGAGTCCCCCCACCTCAGCCAGCGTCTCCACTGGTGAGTACACCCAACTCTTCTCCCCTGTGGTTACACACTAGGGCAGGCAAGGGAAAGAACTGAAGCTCACCTAAGAAGTAGAACACAGAGGAGCTAGGGTTTTCTCAGAATGAAGAACAATTTGGGTCCCTTGAGATAGAGTTCCTCTATCAGATGCTTAGCACAGCATCTTTCTTATTGCTTGTCCCGTAAGCACAGAAATCTGGGCGGGGAGGTCAGGGGAGCTGCTAAGATTCCCAGTGCATTTCTTCTGCTCTTGCTCCTTAAGAGAGTTCACTTAGCATCACCGATTGTCTTGAGCACTGGAGACAACAAGAGCTGTCTCATGCTCACCTATTGTGAGATTTGGAGACAGTCATCTACCCTTTCCAAAACGCTTTTCATTTTGCAATTGTTGCAAAGAATTGCAACCAAGTGGCAAAGAAGAACATAAATAAACAAATAAGTAAATAAACAAAAAAATGAATAAATAAACAAACCATGCCACCTACTCCTGAGAAATAAACAGGTTAGTCTGACTTCACAGGCAGGAGACTGGAGGTGAGGCTCTCAAATCTGTCTCTTGAGTACTGCACTTTGGGCAGTATTTAGGAGGCTGAAGAACAAATATAGAAAATGTACTTGATTGGTTATTTCTGCTAAATCAAATATAGAAAATGCACCTGATTGGTTATTTCTGTATAAATCGAATTTGGGTTCAGAACAGCAATAGAGTGCCTCTCACTTCTGAATATTGTCCATCCAATCATGAGTGAGGTGTCTTAGTTCCATCTTCTATGGCTATCTTCAGTACAAGAAGGCCAGAGAACACTGATCAGGGCCTGCATTGAAACACAGCATCTTAGCTTATGGAAAATCAGAGTTCTTTCCCCCTGTTTCAAATGGGTAGAGAAGGGGTGTTTTTGTCCCATTGTGGCAAGCCTGCCCTGCTGTCCTTGCAAAATAAGCAGAAGGAGGAAAAATAACCTCACAATCATCACAGTTTCACAAAGACAACAGTAATTCCTTTGTTCAGCTGATAGATTATATTAGATAAAGAACAAAGTGACTAGCACTGTGTCAATGACAGTGATTGCCCAATCCCTCATGTGGACACATTTACTCAGAGGACACACTCAAAAAATCAAAGCAGTAGGAAACAAATCATTCTGAACCAGTAAGTATGGGCTGGGTCACTGGTCTCTCTCCAGATCAGATGTTTTCTATTTTGGTGTAAGTGTGGTAGAAAGTGGCGACAATTTAATCTAGTTATTATTTCACCCCCACAGTTCATCTTATGCAAGGTCATTATATTTCCAGATTTGATGCATGAACAGTGTTCTGTTTCCTCTTGTTGCTTCTTTAGCCAACAGAGGATATTCAACCTCAGTGTTGTAAATTAGCAAGCCTGATATCTACATGTGTGCCCTCACCAAGAATTTCTCCAAAATTAGAAATAGCATCTGGTGTCCCATGTTGGTCCTCATCTTACTGATGAAATAATGGGAGTTCAGAGGTTACTCACAGCAACAGAGACCGAGATGGGTGAACACTGGTAGTTTTATTTTTCACAAAGGAATCTGACATGCTTGTGAGGTACCATGAGTCCAGGATGAAGGGTACAAGTCAAACAGAAAAGGGAAATAGCACAGTCATGAGGCCATGGCTTAGGTTGATTCATATTTTCTAATTAAATCCAAACTAAACAGCATCAGCTGCGAATATTATGCTCAGTCTAGAATACTTTGGCTGATGATTATAAAGACACCAGATTATGTTTTACTTGGACACTAGGATTCATGGCTTAACTATAAAATCTAACTATAAAGCACTGTGCAGGACTCTCTCCTGATACCAGTGGTCAGAGTTGCCCACAGTTCCCCAAGGTTATGCTGGAAGCTGAGGAGTTGGCACTGTAAGGGTTCAGAAGAACAATTCCCCTTTCCTCTCTAGGTTCTTCTCAGGCTGATCAAGCAAACATATTGACAGCACACACAGAGATTAAAAGGAGAAGAAAGAATAAATGTTAATTACCTGCATATGGAGAATCTACGAGGCATTACATTTTTCAATAAATGAGATAGGCTGAGGGTTTCATTCCTGAGCTAATGAATGGAATAGGGGCCTGGAATTTCCAGAAAGGGGAAGGAATCTCACATGATGAGGAGAGGGTGACTCATATGACAGAAGCAGATGCTGGAGATGTTTGTCCTGCCTTATGGCAGGATTCTTTCACGTAAAGATGATTAGTGGAGAGGACCCTGGGTAGTCTTCATTCTTTAAAGTAAAGGTAACAGTTTCCCTTGAAGCCCATGGGTCCTTAATTGACCTTCATTCCTCAAGCTAAGGTGACACATTTTTCATCTAGGGTAGTTTTTTTTTTTGTTGCAAAATGGAGGGTATCTGGCTACAAAACCATATTGTTATAAAATTTGCAATTTTTTTTTTTAGTTTGGAGATTCCTTAAGATTAAAATAAAAAGCTCAGATCTAAACATTTGTGGTTAATCTAAGCAGAATTTTTTTTTAATTAAGAAAAATATCCTAGTTAATATTTTGGTCTTATATACAGAGTCATGAAGAGATGGAAAGAATGTGTGTATTTTTGTTGACTTGTTGAGTCAGACTGTGTTTGTTTAGAAGTTCTAGCCTAGGCTTCAAGCATACTGATACCTCCTTGACTGGAACTGGAACATCAATCCCAAGTGGCCAACAGAAGGACAGAATCCAAGGGTAGTTGCAGAAAAGACAGCTGGCTCCCAGCCCCATCCAGTGTTTTTAGAAAATGATTATTTCATCCTTTTCTTCTGTTAAGGGCTGACCTACGTGAACCTCTTCCTGAAAAGCTGAGTCTTGATCAGGTATTCAGGCTGCTTCCCCCCAGGCAAGTCATTTGAGAATGTAAATTACAAGGCCTCCTGTAGCCAGACCCTCTGTGCTACCAAGCACTCATATGGTCAGTTCTCTATGATTGGGTTTTAAAGAGTTGAAGGACAAAAGGCTTGCATGGTCATTTGAGAGTCTGTGGCATTTTTTTTTTCCTAAGAAATGCTAATCCATGGCAAAGCAGTCCCTTCTTTCTCAATGATGCAGAGGATCATCTATTCATTTCATTTATTCAAGTCATATACCAACAGTCCATATACCCGCTCACCTTCCCCTACTCACCTCCCTCTCCCCACAATCTCATCCAATATGAATAGGAACCTAGGTGAATTCTGGAACCATGGATGGTAGGCCTTCTAGGAAACCAACCAGCTCTCCTAGGACAGTGTCATTCCATCATGGCCTCCCCACAGCGGCAGTGCCAGAGGCCAGGACACATGAGAACATGTTAGAGAATGTTTCGAGGGCCTGTGTGTGACTCTAATGCCCCTCTGGCTCAGGAATAGGCTAGAAAATCTGGGGGCCAAATAACCACAAGCAGTTCTTCCAAAACAAGTTCTTTCTATCCTGAGGAGCTTCCCCAGGAGGTGTGTTTCACATCTATGAGTATAAGCATATACTGGGTGTCGGTATTGTCTTAGCAACTGGTTGGATTAGTTGTCTGTGTGACTGAGCAGGGACATCTTTTGGACATTCACAAAGAACTCTTTGGCAACTACATTAGAAGTCTCAGGCTGCACACCAGTTCTCAGTTTACTGTCCACATGACCTCCAAACAGATTCAGTGCTAGCCCTGTCAAGTCAGTTAAGTGCCCATCACCTGCCCAAACTGGGAAGTGTCAGCACCGAAAGGGGAATTAGGACAGAATTCAGAGGGACTGGGTTCTAGTGCCATCCTCCCTATTGCCAAACTCTGTATCCTTGGGAAAGAGGTCTCATCTAAAATAAATAATCTTAAAAAAAAAAAAAAGACTTCCCCAACTGTGAAACTGTGACATAGGACAATAATACCTATGTTGAGGCACAAAAGATATTAACCTTTACCCCTCTGTGTTTTTCTAGCCTAGTAAATAGTCAAACAAGCAGATAGATTGATGAGGAAAAGTCAAAAAGAAGTTTAATAATAATTTGTGTATCTCTTGCATACATAGGAGAGACCCAGGGGGCAAGGGAAGAGGAGAGAAAGAGAAAGTCAGTTAAGGAGGTTACTGGGGAAGGCACTGTAGACAAAGATATCAGACTTAGATTCATCTTTCTTCATTGAAAAGGGGTAAGAAGGTTAGGTCTTCCTAGTACACACTTCAGCAGTTCATCTGTAAATCTCTTTTCCCAGAGAAACCTTCAAGCAGTCTTTAGAGCCTCCTCTATGAAGTCAAGCTTTTATCAAAGTCATATTTGGGAATGGTAAATGTTTGCACCCCTACCCCACCCTCTCTGACCAACCAGGGAGCCGGGAGAGTGCGGATGTCCAGTGCTCATCTCTCAGACTTTCTTTCCTATGTGATCCTTCTCATCCAGTCATTGACGGGCCCACGCAGGTCCTGGTGCGAGATGTCTCCGACACTGTGGCCTTCGTGGAGTGGACACCCCCTAGAGCCAAAGTCGACTTCATTCTCCTGAAGTATGGTTTAGTGGGTGGCGAAGGTGGGAAGACCACCTTCCGACTGCAGCCTCCCCTGAGCCAATACTCAGTGCAGGCCCTGCGACCGGGCTCCCAGTACCAGGTGTGGGTCAGTGCCATACGTGGGGCCAACGAAAGTGAGCCCACCACCACCCAATTCACAACAGGTAAGGCCAGCCCAGGGTGGGAGGGGGAAGGAGAGCATGAGGAGGGAGGGAGGTTGAACCAGCTTGCGGTATCCACATGACAAATAGAACTGAGGGAGAACCAAGGATGTTGCTCGGGAATCCATGTGATCTCAGATACTGCAGGAAGGAAGCCAGAGGTTTCAGGCTTCCACAAAAGTTGACATAACAAGGTAGCAGAAGAAAGTGCTCTGTTCTTAGGGCAAGGCTCCTATCCTATCTATCATGGGCATATACAGCTCTCTGGTCTCATTTATAAAATGAAAATTTGGTCTTAAAGACTTTTAAGCATCCATAGCCCAGGCCCAAATGGCAATTTTGTAAAAGTTCAGGAAAGGTGCTCCTTTCTCAAGATACTTCACTGACATTTGCTGGAAATTGCTGCAATAATTCTATGAATCCACCACCAAGAAGGCACCCCATGGAGTTGTTTGGAACCCAACCTGTACAACCGGAAGCAAAACTTCTGCCAAAGGTTCTGTGACTGATCCTGCACTTGTGGGGTCTAGCAGAAGCTGAAGAAAATAAACCAAAGAAAGCCCTTATTAGTGCTGCTGACCACCACACTCCTTCCTTAAGCTGTCAGTCCTTGGGAGGACCTCCTCCCCAAATCTCTCAGTGACCATCTGGCTGTCCAGCAAGTGGACAAATAAGACAGGGACCATCCAAGACAGGCTTCCTGGCACATTCATTTTCATGGCTGTGACCACATAGTGAATTCTCGAAGACTTTGTCCTAGCCTCTCTGTGTTGCGGAGGTCATGTACCAAGGAGTGAATCTATCAACTCCAAATTGCCCCAGGAACTGCCAGCACCTGTAAGATCTAAGAACCAGCATCTTCTGATGAGGTAAAGTACATGAAGAATCACGAATTTTAGTATCCTGCCCTAGGTTATAGAATAAAAACCTGTTATGGGATGGGGTAAGCCAACTGAAGGCTTCCAAGAAGCACAATAAATAGCTTGCTCCCTAACTCCTCTATCCTCCACCTGCGTTTAAAATCAATTGATAAATAAGCAGAGTAAGACAGATTGAGGCCACAATAGTCCCTAGGTTGGAGTGTGACAGATTAGTGTGAGAGTCAGATGGGCTTGCAAGGGGCTGAGACCAGGGTGACCTAGGTACATCCCCCCTTATGGAGGGCTTTGCGGATTAGACTTACAATAGTGCCTAATTCCCAGAAGCCACTGGCCCTTGAGAGGGAAAAGGGAAGCAGTTTCCAGGCCCTGTCACGAAGCTCCCCCTGAGGTAGGTCCATCTTAGCCAGAGTAAGCAAGAGAGGCCAGGACTTTCTGCAAAAGGAGACGTGGTTATGTGGGGGCGGAAGCTTCCCTTGTAAAAAGGGAGCAAGTACAGACTGATAAAATGAGCAGACAGAATTTAATTATGAAGGAGATATTATTTTGATTCTGGAAAAGATTGTCCTAGGTTTCCTTCCAGCCCCCATGTTAGACACCACTCCACCCAGGGACATTGCTAGATTTTTTTTTTTTAACTGAACACATTTTGGCATCCCCAATGACTGAGTACACACCTTTAAAAAAGGACTTAAATTCTGACATTTCCCTTCCCTTCTTTCACAACTGCCCAGTGCCAAGCATGAGGAGGGACCTCACAAGCACCCCTTCCCAATGAATTCAAGGTCAACATGCAGTTGCCAGCCCTCATGCCCCATGACAGCACCTGGGCTATCTCCTGTGGTCATGATACCCGCATTTTGTTCAAGATAGTTTTTGTTTGAAAAGTGCTTTCTTTGTGCTTTACTCAGATAAGGAGTTTGAAGAGGCAGAAAAGGAGAAGAGAGCTCTTGAGCCACATGATGAAAAGCAAATTGTTAGTGTTTAGGTCGACAAGATGGCAGTAGGATTGGCTGGTGGCCCAGGAAAATTCCAATCAAGACAATTACAGTCTGCTCCAGAAACTCCCCCACCCCTCGGAGTTTCAGCTCACTGCTGCGTGATTCTCCATTTCCGGGAGCCTGTGGACAGCTGTTAGGCAGCTGCCTTCCCAACGCAGCGTGTATCTCCACCCCACTCCCCTCTGCTCCAGTGGGGTGAGGGGATGTGGGGTGCGGAGATGCCAACAGTTTCGCAGACAAACTCTCAAGGCCGAGGGTTGGCAGGCTCCTGGTTGCATGAGGAGAGGGTGGCCAGGCCTTGCAGGAGGGTCCTGAGTCATTGCAGAACTCCACTTAAATTCAAATTAGGCAAAGTGCTTTTCCAGGTGATGGCTTCGACACTAGGCACACACTAATTGCACAGGCAATTAAAACAGAGATTTGCTGCCTTCGTGGTGAGGGGGATATTTGCCTTGCTCTTAGAGATGCTCTGGAAAAGGAAAGCACCGATTCCAGAGAAAGCAGCCCAAGGAAACCAGAGGTCAGCTGTGAACCCCCTGCCTGCGGTGGTTCCTGCTTCAACTGCCCTCAGTGAGGACTCCCTGAGATTTTTCCTCTCCCTGGGGGGGTGGGGGAGCTGCCTTCTCTTTTAGCCCATAGGAGCACCCAACTCCGTCCACAGGCCATTCAGTCAACCAAAGGCTGCAGAATCCATCTGACCGTCTCAGACTTTTCATAAATGCTATTGTGTTTTCCCTAAAAGGTTATTGGAATCTTAGCCACCAGTGCCTGTATATGTATTTGGACATAAAATCTTTGCAGACAATCAAATTAAGGGAGACCACTAGGGTGGTTCCTAACCCAACATAACTGTCCTTACTTATAAAAAGAAGACATTTGGACATACACACATGCCCACATACACATGGAGATTGTCCTGTCAAGATGAAAGCATAGACTGAGGTGATGCTTCTACCAGCCAAGGACCTTGAGATTGTCAACAACTAGCAAAGAGAGGCAAGAACAGATTATCTCTCGTAGCCCTCAGAAGGAAGCAGCCCAGTACCTGTGCTACTTTGTTGGCAGCCCCAGGAACTGCCTAAGTCGCAGCTGTGGATCTCTGGCCTGCTTACCAGTAAATCCACTCTGGGGGGTCTCGTAAATGCTTCAACCTTGTGGCACTTGCCAAACCAGCCCAGACCAGCAACTCTCAGTTGAAGCTGTTCTTTTCTCTGAATATTCATGCCAGCATCATGAAAGCCCTCCACCTGGAATACTTAAAACTTTTCTAAAGTTTTGAGAAAAGCAAAGAAGTGACTACATTTATTCATAAAATTCACACGTACCTACTGAACACCTCCTCAGTTCCAGGTACGGTCATAGGCACTATGTCTAATGTATAAAAAAGGTAGACAAGATCCTAAGTCCTGTGAGTTACATTCCAGAGGGGTGACAGAAACTAGACAGGAACCAGAAAATCATTTCAATCAAAATCATTTCAATAACGAGTAGAAATGGATGACCTAGGAGTTGTTCAGAAAGGCCTCTCTGAGGAGGTGAAGATTTAACCAAGACCAAAGTGACAACATCATATGAGGATATGGAGAAGAGCTGTTCCAGCAACAACAGCAGCCAGTGCAAAGGTCCTGGGGTAGAAATATGCTAGCTGTGTTTCAGCTAAGAACGATGATTTAGGCTGTCCAGACTAAGTGTTACAAGGTAATGTATGATGAGCAGGCGAGACCAGAAGCCTTACAGGACCTGATGAGAAGTTTGCAATAGGAAGCAACAGGACAATTTTAAACAGATTCGATGGCTCTAATTAGAGACTGGCTATGGTTAGTCTGTTTTAGGGGCCCTGTTTATGCTTTACATTTTAGAGACTAGCTACGACTATTACCAGAGTCCAGAGCCCCAAGCCCCACCACAGGGTCCCCACTAGACATCTGTCCTTGCACTGCCCCTGGATTACTGATGCTGTGCCCTTATAGGGGTGCCATTCAGTTGTTCTCCTAGAGATTAAGCTTTAAGACCCAGGAGAGCAAAACATTTCACTCCGCCCAGAACCCCTCTTTCACCCTCATTCTAGGATCAACATCTCTCAGTATCATTGATATTGGAAGGATCTGGTCCTTTCAGAGAAAACACTGCCCCCTAGTCCATGGGCATAGACCCTAAGACCAAAAAAAAAGGACAGGTAGAAACTGTAGTTAACATGGCCTGGGAGTTTTAGACATGAAGAACGGTAGACTGAGGTGCTGAACACCTGATTCCCAGCCCCAATTCCTTTGTGCTCCATTTCCATTCAGGCACACACCTGAGTCCAGTCGAGCCCTTTGCCCAGTCTCTCCTCCAGCAAGAGTCTTGGGGAGGCACAGTTTAAGATGCTCCTCCCACATTCCTCTCTCCCAAGCTCCTCTCACCACCCAACTGCTAGAAGATAGCACACACAGCAAAGACACAGTCAAGAACACACAGCATCTGGCATGCAAAGGCCACACTGAGTAAGGAAACGTTTCTCAGAAAATTAAGCTGCAGAGACATAAATCTGCTAAAAGATTCACCCCATTTACATCGCTAAATAAAACACTTCTCACTCCAAAGCCCCTGTACTCAGACTGATTCACGGCATCTTCATCTTTGGAAAGAACAATTGGAGGACATCACTTGCCTGGCATTTACAAATTCAAAGAGACGGGGAGAGATTTTCTCAGATCAAATGGCTGGTGCACTCAAAGGCAACTTCAAGTCTCAGACAAGACCTGGCTATAACTTCTTAAGTGGTGATTTTCAGGACAGCGCCTTACTGCCCTCGCCAATTGTTTATATTGTTTTTGCCCAAATAAACTCAAGGAAATGACCAGTACTGTGAGAGAGAATGGACCACGGGATTATGGGATTATGGAACACCCCAATGTCAGTGTTCTTCTCATTACACTGGAATTCTTGGAACTGGAGAAAACAAGCATTGGGGGCACCATGTTACTGGGGCTAAAAAGAGCTTTGGAGACCCCAGGAAGCACCCTCCAGGAACCATGCTATTCACGTCACATCGATTGTCTAGTCTGTACATATCAGTTTTATTAGCCCATTTGACAGAAGCGGCCCTCAACTCCCAGTAAGGAAAAAAGACATGCCTGGTTCCCATTACCGTGAGGGGGCAGAGTGAGGCTCAAATAAGGATATATCCCTTCTCCTGTATCACTGCCCCAATATATACTTAAGTGTTCCAACTTGCAGGCCTTTCAGAAGTTTCTATGCAGGTAAATCCAGGACAAGATAGCTAATCCTTCAAAATTCTGCAGTCAACCATCTTCTTTCCAGTTGGAGGTCAAATTTGATATTACTCTATTCCACTGAAACACTTTACATCATCTCTGACTTTATCTACTGTAATAATTTCCCTTGCTTAGTCTCAAGCTGTGCAATACTTATGATACTAACTGGCTCATTTTTAAATTTCTAGAACAGTGAAACTCTGAATGGAAATGGGGAAGTATATAGGGTGTTGATCATTAAATTCCTAGAAAAACTCTCCACCCTGCCCACGCCATTGGATCATGGTTAAACTGGCAGGTCAGAGGTTGAAAGGCAGCTCTGTGGCTCATTAAACCTGAAGGAGAAGGTCAGGAAGTGTGGAGTCACCCCAAAGCTTGTTAAAGTTCAAATGTATTTAACCCATGTAATGTCTCTCTTTTTAGAGATTGATGCCCCCAAAAACCTGCGAGTTGGTTCCCGCACGGCAACCAGCCTGGACCTTGAGTGGGATAACAGTGAAGCAGAGGTTCAAGAGTATAAGGTTGTGTACAGCACTCTGGCGGGTGAGCAGTACCATGAGCTTCTGGTCCCCAAGAACATCGGTCCCACCACCAGAGCCACCCTCACTGGTGAGTGAACCCTGGCTCCCAGGGGCCCACAGTTTCCTGAGTCTGGGAGGGAGGGAGAGAGGAAGGAAGGAACAGCAAGGCCAGAGGCAAGAGATTGGTCAGGAGGCTAATTCAAAGGCAAAGGGAGAGGAGGATGGTGATACAGATGAAGAGGGTGTCCCGGGTCATCTTGATGCTTGGCTTGGAAACCCTCCTTGTACCCATGAGGGCGTGGGACCCAGCCAATGCTCTTTCTTGGGTCCCAGACACCCCCATCCAGGAAAACCTACCTGCTGGACTTCACTGAACAGTAGATGACAAAAAATGCATGGTGGTCAGATGAAGGAGACTGCAAAGCAGCCACAGACCGGGAGCTGCCAGTGAGCTTACAAAGACTTTGTTTAACTTAGGTCCTGGCTTCCTGGAAGAAAGCATTTGCCATCTTAGCAGACAAGGGCTACGCAGCAAAGAGTGCATACAGTAAACAAGGGCAGTGTAATCAAAGCTGTTTTCCTCCTAAACTGAAATCCCAGTCCTCCTTGCCAAATGAGGCCAGTTAAAGTAAATATAATAAATGCTTTTTCCAGACAGACACACTCTTGAAAACACAGCAAAGAGATGGAAAGATATGCTGACCAAGCAGGTTAATGGGGGTGAATTAAACATAGCAGGATCAGACCAGCTGGCGTAAGGGCCTTTGCAGAAAGCTGGAGATGTTCACAAAAATTAAGCTGAACAGAAAACTCAAATGAGACAGCAGGGAACTGATTCCACACACAGTCCAGCCCTGCCTGGAGCCGCAGGCTGATTTGGCAATTAGCAATTTACAAAGATGATGGCTAGTTGCATGGATGAAGGATATACCATGAAATCACAGTGGAGATGTGGAGAAGAACCCAGTAAAATCCTAGTTATTATTTCTCATCACTAGAAAAGGAGGACATTCTATACTCATTGATCATCTACCTAGTTGCAGGCACCTCTCTATAATCATCTTCACCACCACTAGCAAAGAGATGTTTGAATTCCCATCATAAGGTTAAGATAACTGAGGCTCAGTGAGTTTGAAAACATCCAAGTTCACAAAAATTAAACTATGACTCAAAGGCAGTTTCAAGTCCTTCCCTGGCTGCTTTGATTAAAGAAATAAAATGTAAGTGACAGTCAAAAGTTAAATGCTGCAGCTTATAGGAAATGGGAAAATTGCTCTTGAGGAGTGGGCTTAGATAGGTTGCTTATTTTTGGTAGAGTTGAGCTTATGAAGCATAATCATAAATATATATTACACATAATTATCCCAAAGAGCTCACTGCTGGGGAGATTTATAAAGGCAAATAACTTTATGTGATTTAAGAAGAGATTATAGGCATGTGAGGAAATCAAGTATGCCTGTACTTGCTGAGAGGCAAATTACCAGGACTTGCTCTGTCACTGTTTCTGGGGGGAGAGAAGGACCATGAGGCGGGAAGGCAGAGAGGCAGATGTCTGGTCCCAGCTCTGCATAGGCGTGCTTTCTCCCTCATTCTCTAACCTGGATGGTGAAGGGAAATTTTCAACTTTCAAGACTTGTGTTTATTCAGAGAATGCTTTGCTCTGCAGACGATGTTGAGAACCAGGATTTTGGACTTGATCCAGGTGTGGGCACATCCTGTGTGATCTGGAGCAACTGACAACCTTTTTAAGCTAAGCCTCACCTCCTCCTCTGTAAAAGGGGAATGAAACCACCTCCCTCGCAGCTTCTCGGACAGCCACACGTGGCTGCCGATGCTGATGAACAAGGAGGCAGAGAAACAGGTCTGTGAGCTAAAAGATAATACAGGAAAAGTCTGACAATCTGTAAGGCAGAGGAGACACTGGCTTCTCAAAGCAGGGTGTGTGGACAGTCTCAAGGGCACCATCACCTCTGGAGACTTTAGTTCCTTCTCTCTTCCCACCCCGAGCTCTCCCAAATCAGAGCCTGTAGTTTAGAGCCCCCCACCCCACCTTGGGGATTTGTTGTGCATTAATGGATGAGAAGCAGTCACTTAGAGCATGACTTCTGAAGTCTCCCACGTGGGTTAGAGCCCAATTTCATTGATGTGCGTCCTTGGGCAAATTTTTCAATTTCCTGTGCTTCAGTTTCCTGGTTTGAGGACATCATGTCAGTCTCCTAGTGTGGTTGCGAGGATAAAATGAAATCTTCTGTATCTGCATACATAAGCACTTAGCATGCAGGCTGGTACATGGCGACCATTCAATAGCATTTGACCTTTTATTGTTCTCTGTTTTGATTTTGAGGATCTTTACAGAAGTAACACTAGTTTGTAACATTATATAGGTTTCCACATTATATAGATTTCTGGTGTGCAGCCTTATAAATTTACATCTGTACAGACTGTATTAAGTTCACCACTGAAAGCCTAATTCCATCCCTCACCAAACAACTGGCCCCTTTTACGGGATTACCTACCACTCCCCTCCCTTCCAGGAACCACTAATTTGGTCTTACAGTCTTAATGTTTCTTTCTGTTTTATTTAGATCATTCACTTGCTTTGCTTATTGGTTTAATGATCTTTTATTCTTCTTAACCCCCACAAAGTTCACACATGGATCCGTGGCAACCCTGTCTTTCTCTCCTCCAAGTTCACAGCCCTTTTATTCTCAGTACTGACTCGGAGCCTTTATCCTCCTAGACACCTGTATCTGTTACTCTCTTCAGAAGCCCTTATCTCAGCAGCCATCACTGGTCACCTTTGCTGTGGCATCAGACCCCTCCTGCCTTCTTGGGACTGAGTCAAGCAGAAGGCTCACAGCAAGTGAGGCTCTCTCCATCTCCCCCTCAACATATTTCATCCTTTGCAACACAGAGGCCAGGCTGGGGCACAGAATGCCAAACATGTCTTTTTCATTATTCTCGCTGGGCAATTCCCTCTGGAGTATGGTTTTGTTTCTGAACAAGAGACTCAGTGTCTGCAATGATTTCCCCCCCCTGCGCTGGTGGCTTCTGTGTCCTTAATGATAAGTCTATTTTTAGGCTCAGCCTTTCAGGCAGAATGATGTCTGCTTGGCCTGTGAACCATATCTGGGGTCCCAAAGGGGTCTCCAGGTATTCTATACTTTACAGGCTCGTCAAGGGAGCTTTAGGTTAAACTGGAGGCATAGCCCAGGGACTGGCACCACCATTTTGTTTTCTGGGCAGCAACAAAAAACAATAAGCCATAGAGAAAACTCCAAATGACTGGCATGAGGGGTTGGAAGGGAAAGAAGGGCAGAAGATTTTCACTCCTTGACTAGAAGATGGGTAAAAATACTAGCTTCCCTGGCGTCAACACAGATTACAAACAGTTTTCTGGCCCCTGGGACTGAGGTGACTCATCTCACCTGTCATTGGAAAGGCCTTGGGCTGCAGTGTTCTGTCAGGAGCAAAGAGGGGATTGTCCTCAGCCATCTACATTCTCACCTAGTTCTCTTTCATAAACAGAAGCCCACGCTTGGAGACTCCTTGGTCAGGAGAAAGGCAAAAGGAACTGGCCCAAAAGGCCATGGGAGCGCTGGACTCTGACCCCGGACCCCAGAGGCCATGAAGGGGTCCCTCGCCCTCTACAGGGGATGCCACCTCGTAGCCTCCTGATAGCTGTCCCCAGCTGGTTTCATCTTTCTGACCTCTGACTGCTTCCATTTCCTGTCAACAACCTCTAATCAGAAAAGTCATCAACAAGGCTTAGGAAACCCAGGAGCTTGAAGCTTCCTCAGATACCATAATATAACATCAGATTGTAAGAAAACAAACACCTAAGCCAAGTTACACATAACTCACATAATTCACTCACGCACACACCCACCACACCCAAAACACATATTCACCAGTCATACATGACACATTCACACACACATTTGCCCACCATATACACTTGCACTCCATACACACACAATACATATACACATACCACAAACATATCCAACACGAACTTATACACATGGCACATGTACACACAAACCACTCACACATCACACACACACATGCAGACATACGCACACATACGTACATGCACAAGGCTGACATCTGCAAGCAATCAGGTGATTCAAGTTGCCACCTTCAGGACTTCTAAAAGAAGTCCTAACTCCCACGTTTTCATTGGGGGACTCCAGTGCGGGTCTAGTGGCCAGACAGTGGTTTCCTCAAAGTGCACAGGCAGAAGACATGCTTGCCCTTCAGAGAATCCAGGAGGAGTCCAGCTGGCAAGGCAGTACTGACCAAGGCCCTGGGTGTTCACTTCACCCTGTCTGCACTCCCTGATGTGCCAGGGCACAAACACCAGTCAGTGCCAGACCCTCCAATGTCCTGCAGGCTCTTCAGAGGAGGCGGAGTCCTGGGAATAGGCCTGGGGGCCCGGTCAGTCAGTTCTGGGCCTTCTTTGGGCGAAGTCACAGTGCCCCCAAGTGGTCATGTTAGTAAGGCACCCTCTCAACAAGCATTGCCATCTGGGCTTAGAAAATGGGGAGTGGGCTGCTGAGGCCATGTAGCGAGGAGAAAAGGGTGGTAGTTTCCACAGACTTCATCATCATAGAACTGAGACCTCAGGACATCTGTCCCCTTATTTCTATTTAAGGGCTGGGGAAAGAGCCAGGAGAGAAATCAGGTGGGAATTATTCAGCTTCTTCTTTGGCTTCTTCAGGAATGCTTGTTTACAGTAGAGACCCAGAGACAGGATGTTCCTGTAAGACTGGGGGTGATGAGCCATGCTTCTCATTAATCTCACCAGCAACAAGAAAGCTGCATTTGAGAATGTTCCTCAATGTTCTTCCTTTCTTTTAAAACATATGTTTGTGGGGCTCTACCCTTCCTTAAAATCAGGGTGGACTTGGCTTTTTCTCTCCATGCTTGAGCATCAGGTATCACACTCAAAAGTGGGGCATCTTCTTCCAAAGACTCAGGGAACCCTGGAGAACTTCTACCATTATCCAAGAAGATAAAGACAGGGAGCCTGGGGGCTTAACGTTTCATTATCTTAAAAAAAAAAAAAAAAAAAAGATTACTGTC